ATGGGGCTTTTTGGTACCTGCCCCCGCCTGTCCCGCAGCAGCGCTGTGATCGGACGCAGAGGGGGCGCGCCGCTCACCTCACATGCCCTTGTATTACAGGCAGGTCACTTCCCTCTTACTGGGAGGAAAACCAACACGACAATAAAGTGTCTGGGGGCCACACCCAGCAGCCCAACGGGCCACAGGCTGCCCACCCCGGCTTGAGGGACGCGGTAGAGAAGGGTCCAGTCCCCCCAGAGGACCCTGGAAGGACACCTGGCCAGGGGATAGAGAGGTGGGGGGACCGAGAGGCCAGAGCCAGGGAGCCGACTGTTAGGGGAAAGCAGGTGAGTGTGAAGTCCTGGCTCGGAGCTTTGCCTGCTTCTGTCTGTCTGCGGACACTGGCAACCAGGGAAGGAACGTCCTGTCAGTGTCCCAGGCTCACATGCCAGGCTGCTGTCTGCCACCGCCCGTGTCCCCCGCGCAAGTGGCTGGGTGGGCCGCGGCTTCTGTCTGTCTGCGGACACTGGCAACCAGGGAAGGAACGTCCTGTCAGTGTCCCAGGCTCACATGCCAGGCTGCTGTCTGCCACCGCCCGTGTCCCCCGCGCAAGTGGCTGGGTGGGCCGCGGGAACTGGGTGTCTAACGCGGCAGGGGGGGGGGGGGGGGGGGGGGGGGGGGGCAGAGGGGAAATGAGGTCACTGGAATAAATGGCGGGTCAGAGGCACAGAGCAAACCAGACTGTCTGGGAGAATTGTGGGACGAGGCGCCCGGGGAGGCGCTGCGTCTCTTGGAAGAAGCTGGGAAGATCCTGTGGGGACAGAGGAGAGGCAGGAGAGGGTGGGGAGATGGGAGGAGTGAGGCAAAGGGGATGAAAAAGCAGCTGGGATTGTTGGCAGGGGGCGGGGAGGAGGGTGTTTCAATTACATGGGAGAAGTTTTTAGCAAAACATAGTTAACCCCCCCAGGGCACCTACCAACGGGAGACGCGCCCCTGCACGTTTCTCCCGCGGGAGCTGCCACGAGAACAAACATGTGAGATCTCCCACACGTTGTGTAATGCACGGCTGGGAGGCGTCCAGCAGCCAGGGTGAGGGGCATGAGAATCAGGAGCAGAGCGGGGCTCCCGAATCCAGCTGGCTGGGAAACTCCTTCTCGGACCCGGCCTGGCTGTGGAGCCTGCCAGGGGAAACAGGCTGAATTGCCCCGAGAGGGGGAGGAGGGAGCACAAAAGGGCAGGTGCTTATAGCACAGCCCCTACAAGCCCACGATTTCTGCTCCACGTGGAAGTGACACGGGCGCACCGGGGCCCGGGCTGGTTGTGCCTGCACAACACACACGGGCTTCCCGCCTGAGAGGAGAGCTGGGGCGATAACAGCCTCTTCACTTTCTTGGCTGACCTGGAACAAGGAGACGTAATGTCCTTTGGGTTGGTCTGAACCCAGAGCGCCGATGCCTTGTCCTCTGGGGCCTGGCTTTTCTTTTGCTTTAGGGAATGCAAGTGAAGCAAAATGCAAACTAAAAATGCCGTTTGTAATATCAAGACGTTTGGACTTTTTCTGGGGCCAGCACAGCGGCACAATTTGCAGAACGCTGTAAAATAATTCAGCTAATCCAAATATTCAGTTGCCCGTGAACAGTTTTGGTTAAAAGATTTTGCCCTGGGGGGCCTGGCAGCGCTGGCTCTTTCGTTTTGCTACTCAGCAAATAGAGCGAAAGTGCAGACAGCAGAGGTCTGTGGATTAAATCACAGGGTTTTCCTCCAGCGAGCAATCCCTGCAGCAGGCAGCCAAAGGTGCTTTCCATTGAGACCTGCGGTTGGCGCGTCAGGGGAGATGAAACAAACAGGAGCAAGACAGAGTCACAGCAAGAAGAGGTGCCATTCACGTTTACAGAAACACCCATTTCACTCCTGTGGCTTCTCCCTCAAAACACTGTGACTGGCCCCCCCCAACACGCAGGTCGCGTGCGCTCCCAGCTGCCCGGCGGAAAGGCACCAGAACTACTCACGGGCGTCCAGCAGCGCGTTGTCCCACCAGAGCCCAGAAATGGCAGCGCCTGTTGCACCCGGGCAGTTCTCAAGAGACAAGTGGCGCCCTGTCTCCCACAGCTGTGCTGCTGCGCTCAACAAGTTACACAATCCCCTGCGTCCTGGCAACCAGGCGTTCTGCTCCTCCCTGTTTGGGAAGGCTGGAGGGTGTAATCGCTTTAATGGATCAGAAAGGGGAAAGTTGGGGGGTGCAATCCAATTTCTGCAGTTATCCTGCTTCAGTGTCTAATTCAATTAATTGACTTGAGGATAAAACGTGCCGGCTGAGGGAGGAAGGCTTGTCGGCTAGCCTAGGGGGGCGGGTATTTCATGGTATGCAAAACAGCTCTGAGCACACGGGCTGTGTCCACATTGGTGCGATCTTGCCTAAAAGCAGCCGCTTTTGCACAAAAACTTGTTGCCTGTCTACACTGGCGGGCAGTCCTGGTGCAAGAACACTGGTGTGAAATCAGGGCTTCTTGCGCAAGGACTACGATGCTCCCGCTCAGGAATAAGCCCTTCTGTGCAAGTGTTCTTGCGCAAGAGGCCAGTGTAGCCAGGCAACAGGAATTTCTTGTGCAAGAAACCCCGCTGGTTAAAATGGCCATTGGCGCTTTCTTGTGCAGGAGAGCGTCTACGCTGGCCCCGATGCTCTTGTGCAAAGGCACACGCCAGTGGGGACGCTCTCTTGTGCAAATACTCTAACGCACGAACTCTTGCATTAAGGAGTATTTGCGCAATGTCATGCCAATGTAGACGTAGCCAAGAGGTACAAATGCAATTTCGCCCCATTGCCGGCCTTGGGTTAGCCTCTTCCCGAACCTTTGCAAAGACCCTGACAGTATTTCCCAGCATGCTGCGGGTATCGGAGCTGTTCGAATGGCACCTCTCACCGTGCAGCTGGTCTCCCTGAGGGGCTGAGCCTTCGCGAGCTCCCCTTGACCGTAGTGAGTGTCTCGGGCTCAGCCCCCCAGACAGCCTGACCGGCAGGGGCTG